CTCGGGCTTACCAACTTGTCGTGTATGCCATTCTGCAGAGTCCGACAGACGAGGAGATGCTGCCTTAGGATTCTTGGGAATTACTCCTCCGGTTCCAGAAGCTCGTAAAAGCAATGTAGACGAAACTGGTAATGATGTCAGCAAAGCTACAGAGGCTGAGCAGAAGAGTTCTATCGTCAAAAGCAATGGGGTTGAATCTGGCTTCATCGAAATAACAAGTCCTGATGGGGAAATTTTCATCTGCACAAATGATATCGAAATGGGAATCCAGCAGCATCAGGATGCATTGCTTGAGCTTGGATGTTCTTGCAAAAACGAGCTTGCTTTGGTACACTACGCTTGCGCGCTCAAATGGTTCCTCAACCATGGATCCACAGTGTGTGAAATCTGTGGAAATGCTGCGGAAAATGTAAAAATTGCTGATTTCAACAAAGTGGTCATTGCCTTGAGAGATTACACGGCACTAAGAGAAAGAAACGCTGATGGAGGAGATCCAAACATTGTATTACCGGTGAATACAGATTCCACCATAGATTCAGATGAAGTTGCTACCATTCGAAGGCAACGACTTGGTGAGATATCCTCATGGTTTGGTCCCCATTCCCAGAACAACAACAACAGTAACTCTGTTGCCGCTTCTCAGGTTATGCCTGAACAACCTTTAGGTGTAGTGAACTTTGATATCTTGCCTATGGAAAGCCGTGCAACTAAATGGGCTGTGGAAGGTACCGGGATTCTACTTGCTACCGGTTTACTCACTGTTACTTTGGTCTGGCTCATTGCTCCCCGTGTTGGAAAGGTATGTGATCGATCTATCTAGGCCTCTCTGACTCTTACGGATATATTAGTAGCGTTCCTTAATTTTTTAAACCGCGTAGAGAACTGCGAGGAGCGGACTTCACATCCTTCTTGGTGGTCTCTGTGCTTTAACAATAGTCATCTTTTTCAGATTCGTAAGTAAACTCTTTTAGATATCTCATTTTACAGATTTTCATGATTCCTACTTTACTATAACACACAACCTTGAAAACAGGTTGTGCTCACTAGAATCAGGTATGGTCCTGCACGCTACTGGGCAATCTTATTCATCTTCTGGTTTCTTGTATTTGGTATTTGGGCTTCTCGTTCGAATGCTTCTCACAATAACCCTTGAATCCATCATTATCATTGTCATCATCAACTCTCTGCTCTCTCCCTCTCTCTCTGCATAAGTCTTTGTAATCTTCTCTCCGAGAAAAATGTACATTGCTTCATCAAAGAAAAATACGCTCATGCTCATTGATTATGATGAATATATATAATTTATAATGGTCACTATTGCTTTTACAGTTCCTCTGTATCTACTTTAATATCGTTAAACATTTAATAAAAAAAATTGAATCTTGCTGTTGAGTCTGGTCAACCAGTGGAAACCCATTTGCCAGAACATTGGATATTGAAACCGGAGGTTGCAAATCCCAACTCCGTCACTTTATGACCCAACTTGGTTTCCGAGTCAGGATCCGACGCCGAGTCTTTCCTTTTCCTCTGGTCCGGTGGCCGAATACTCTGGAAAGCTTCAATTTGTAAGCTCTTCCGTTTTTACCCCTGAGGAGCAAAGCTCCAATTCAAGAACGGTTTTTGCTCCGGCGGGTCCTCAAACGAAGTGGCAAAGTCGGACTGATACGGAAACTGAGGGACAAAAGCGTCATTTTGCAATAGCTCGATGGAATCAAACATCGACGTGTCAAACGCGTCGTCGAGATCAACCCATTTGGACTGGCTCTGAGCCTCCCAGTTATCGGAGCACGTGACGTCCGGTGAAATCACGTGACTTGAGCATTTTGAGTCCGACGTAGTTGTTATCGCCGTCGATTTTTCGTCGGATGGATAATACTTCTCCATTGTTCCTTTCTTATTGTAAATCCGACATAATACCCAATCATCAAGCTGCGAATTTTCAACAAGACCACATTAGTCATCATCACATAAATCGAAAACTGAGACTAGCATTCCTTAAAACCCAAAAAAGTCAATAAAAAGAAACGTACTCGTAAGTTGTTCTTCTTGTTCGTAGAAGCAGACCGATCAACATTAGCGAGACGGTACTCGTGCATAATCCAATTCGTTTTTATCCCTTTCGGCGCTTTCCCGGCGTAGAAGACGAGTGCTTTCTTAATACCTAATGTCTTCGGTTTACCGATCGGTTTATCAGCTCCAGTCGCTTTCCAATAACCGGTTCCAGCTGCCCGGTTTGGACGCGAACCGTTTGGGTATTTTCGGTCCCGATGTGAGAAGAAATACCACTCTTTCTCTCCGTACAAAGCCATTTCTGAAACAAAAATTCGAATTTTGTTCAAAATCAATGAAAATCACTAAAACCACATCTACTCGAAATCATCTAATAACGTGGGATTGGAATTTTACCTGGCAGTTCCCACGGACTGAATTTGTAAAGATCAATCTCTGCGATTACCGGAACGCTAATCGGCTCCGATGCGCATCTCCTGCAGAGATAGAACTTAACGAGCTCTTCGTCCGTCGGGTGAAATCGAAATCCCGCCGGCAAATTTAGCTCCGCCTTCATTTTGGGAAAGTTCCTTTTTTCTAGTGGATAAGATTCGCCTCTTTTATTTTGTAATCTCGATCGGATATTTTTGGTTTTTTATCGGAGATTGCAATCGAGGAGAAGAGAGCAAGGCCATGGAGCTTTTATAAAGAGCCAAAGAGGAGAGATTCATGAATCACACGTGGGTGGTTTTCTGACACGTGTGACAAAACCAACCGTTTTCTTTTCAACGTTGACCGCGCAGCCTGATGACATGTACAGGTGGCGTCGACTAATTGGGTGATCGACATACAAGTTATGTGACGTCATTGCTTCCGTCATCCGCACGAAGAACCTTTGGGAATGAGATCTGCTGCTTCTCGGTGTATGCTTGTGCACACGTTGTTCTCTGGCCAATATATAAATCGTGACTTGTGAGTGGACTGTGATGAGTATTGCCGTGGGCTTCTCCGCACCAGATAGGTTCTCTGTTCATCTAATCAGTAATCACCTTTGTCATTGAATGACGTCATCGTTAGTCGCACGTCGGCTTATAGAAAGCTGAAAGATGCGATAATCGACAGTTTCTTGGTCTAAAAACATTTTCAGGTAAACGACAAATTATATCGCAAAGAAAAAATGTTTTACAGATTGCCTATTAAAGATTCTTGTATCGTAGTTAGTAACTAATCTTATGTTACAACTTAATAACTTATATTGGGATATATTAAGGAATTGAGACAAATGGATAATGGATTATAATAGGCTTTTTTTCCGCTGAGTTCAATTAGGCTTCTAAGAAGGAGAAAATGTTAACTCATAAATATGTTAGCCAAAATCATGAAAGAATTGAGCATCTCATCATCCTCATGCCAAAAACAGGATACATTCGTTAGCTTATCTTGTTTCCTGAGTTTTGTAAAAGGTTTAGTAGACATAGTTATTCATGAACTAAACAAAATTGATGCGTAACTAAAGCACTAAGATGTACAAGCCCAATATATGGGCTCTAAGAATAACTTGAGGCCCATTTTAAGCCCCCTTTTACTATACGTAAAGGCTGTATTGGCGCAAGTCCCGTATTCCAAGTTCCAATTTCTGTGTCGTATACGGTAAACCCCAATCATTATTTTGGGTTTCCCAATTTCTGCATATTGACGAAATAACAAACACGGGCAACACCCGTACATTTCAATTTGTGTTTTAATAAGAAGAAAGAAGAAAGAAGAAAGAATTAGGTTTTTAACAAAAAAAGAAAGATACATTAATGGTCCATTTGACCTATCAATCTCAATCTAATCCATTTGATCTATAAATCTATTAGACCACCTTCATTAAAGGAATATCTCAATAGATATCTTAATTTAAAAAACAATAAAAAAATAATAATTTTGGAAAATATTAATAATAATATAATAATGATAGTGGATATCTAAGCAATGGAGACAAATATTTGTTATGGAATTTTCAAAATATTTTTTTCTTAAAATATTATTATTATATTTATGGGATATTCTAAGGGTGTTTTCACCAATGAAAATGCTTTTAGATCCAGAAATGAACCAGACTGGGTTGGTTTAACCCATGAAATTTTACTTTATTTTGATATTCCTGCATATAGATTGGTGGTTTGTACTAGTTAGTATAGATGAAATGTATAGACTGGTTGTTTGTACTAGTAGTATAGCTGAAATCTTACCATCCAACAAATGGCAAAAGGGAAAGGAAAAAAAAAAAGCCTAGTCTAAGTAGAAGGGCATTTTAGTCAATTAGTGGTTTGAATTGTAAGACAAAGGCGAAAAGCATAACGTAGATTCCAGGCTTATATAACCTCAAGACAAGCTCCAAATTTTTTTCCAATTATTGCGATTCAATTCGTTTGTATATATATATATCTTCCAAATCTCAAAATCTTTATTCGACGCCTACATATTATAGTCACACTTGTTTACCAATCATATATTTTTCTTGGATTTATATAATGCATCAATTATACATACACCCACATGCCTGATGCGTATATATCTACACACATGTTCGAACAGAAATCAGTAAAGGAACATCAAACAGGAAGAGAAGAAGAAAGAAGATGGTGTCGTGTCGGGTCGGGTTTTGTTTGATTCTTCTGGGTACGGTTCTTGTTTTCTACACGGTTGGAGCCGGCGGTGCTACGGCGGAGAAGGGAGTGACGTACGACGGACGGTCTTTGATTATCGATGGACAGAGGAAACTTCTCTTCTCCGGTTCAATTCATTATCCTCGCAGCACACCCGAGGTAAATATTTTTCATGAATGACTTGTAACTGTGTATATGTATATAATCAAATGTAGTATATATATGGTCCAACCATTTCTTGCAAATGTAAACAAAAATGGTTGGTCGTCAAGAATAAAATAGTTGGACCGAAATTTGTGTCATAATAATGAAATATGACACAACTCTGCCATCAAAAGCAAAGGTACATATATATGACAAAATTTATCGAGTGTATAAATTTTGGATACATATGACCTTAATCAGATCTCAAATTATATGCGAGGTTGCTTGAAAAAAAAAAACTGTAGTCAATATATATATACACTATATAGTGGCTTTTGTATATATTGAAACTTTGTAACTGAATTCTGTTTCACGAGTTACTTTACATTTGTTAAGTTGTTTTCGCTTTTCATGTACTTTGTGTTGCGTGCGAAACTCCTTTTGGCGAAAGAAACAACAACAAAAGTTGGCGGAAATACTTATTTATTGGTAAATGAAACTAATATCTAGTACGGAGTAGGAGTCAATTTTAAGCACGACATCAATAGGAATCCAACGAATCACAGTTTTATGCCGTGTACGTGTTAATTACTTTTGCTATTTATATGAAAGGTTATATTCAAAAATATGAAAATATTATGTAAAATAATAAAGGAAAACACGAAAATGACAGGCACTCTGTATTTAAGCAAAATTGATCTGTCACTTATTATTTATAAAATATTTTATTGTTTGGTTCACAAGATTTCTCTAGCTTCACTATCAAGATTAAGACAGAGATTTGATCTAACACAACATCTTTGACTCCTTGACTTTTACTGAAAATGAATGTCACGGGTCTCAAAATCGACACCGGTTCGGTTCTTTTTATTATCCCTTCCTAATTTGTCATTGTCTACTTCTTTATTTGACTCTTTTTGTACTTTCAGATTTATCATTAAATAGTATTTACAAAAAAAGTTGCGTATTAATTCGTTTCAGTCTGAAACTAATTAGACACAGATCCGTTCTATGTGCTTCATTCAATGGTCTTCTCATGGTTAAAATGGGAAAAAACAAAAGTAGATTAAGTAAATGAATAACTAACCAATTTTTTAGAAGATGAATAATGAATAAATTATCATAGCACTTATCAAATAAAAGGGGTCAAAATGTGTAAAACAATTGGAATTATTTACAGAACAATAATTAATTTTCGAGTCAACGTTGCTAACAATATTTTATTGAACTACATGTGATGATCATTAATTATGCGTCTTATTATCATTTGGTCTTTGACAACTTTAACACAATCACGTGAACAAATCTTATTTATTTAAAATCTCTAGTCGATGGGTTACAAAATGTATTATCATTCCATTTTTTTTTTAAATGACATCATTTCAATTATTTGAATAATTTTTCGTATTCCCTCTATTTCATTATAGTTGATTTTCTGAATATTTACACACAGATTAAGAAATCTATAAATGTTCAATTATTTACTGTTTATTTTTATTAATTAAGTTACTTTTACAACTGTTTTAATTATTTTAATTATTATTTTTTTTCTTAACTGTGTGTTAATGAAGTAAAGCAACATGCATTAATATTATTTATTCAATTTAAAGAAAAGACATGCATTAATTAAATATAAGAAATCAAATATTATGAAATAAGAAAAAAAAACCTAAAAAATCAACTATAATAAAACAGAGGAAGTATAGTAATCTAACACATATTTATTTCTTTTTTGCAGATGTGGCCATCTCTGATAGAAAAGACAAAGGAAGGAGGCATCGATGTGATCCAAACGTACGTTTTCTGGAATCTCCATGAGCCTAAACTCGGACAGGTCGGTCCATTTAATTAATTTACTATATGAATTTTTAAATTTGTTGCTTTGTAGATATGATAAAACAAAAAAATAAACATGTCGTTTCTTGGAATAAAATGAATATTTCAGTATGATTTTAGCGGAAGAAACGATTTGGTGAAGTTTATCAAAGAAATAAGATCGCAAGGTCTCTATGTCTGTCTACGGATTGGACCCTTCATCGAAGCCGAGTGGAACTACGGGTACTAATCAATTAATAATATATGATAATTAACGAATAATAAGCATTGAGAAAGTGTCTTTATTCGATTTTGACAACCGGTTTGGTTAACCAGGGGATTGCCATTTTGGTTACGCGATGTACCCGGTATGGTATACCGAACCCGACAATGAGCCCTTCAAAGTTCCACATGCGAAAGTTCACCAGTAAGATAGTAAATTTGATGAAATCGGAGGGTTTATATGCTTCTCAAGGAGGTCCAATTATTCTTTCCCAGGTAATTTAATTAATTATTATTCATCTGCTTCGATGTCATCGAACCGAAGCGAACCAAACCTAATCAGTAGACAGTTGGATTAGTTACCTTAACCGGACTAATGTTTAGAAACCAGATTATAAGTCTGTATAGAGTTTTGGAGCCAAACTGGTAGTATATATTTGCCTAAAATCGGACAACACTTTGAATGATGACCCCCATCATGACTAGAAAACACATGATAAAATGTGGTCCCTTGGCCAAATAGTTTCGGTTAAAGTTCACCCCACAGCTGGATTCAAATCAAACAAGAACCGGAACCGGTTAGCTTTAATACGATGTGAATCGATTTGGGTTCTTGTGGTTTTAAATTGTATAGATCGAGAACGAGTACGGGAACGTGGAGGCGGCTTTTCATGAGAAAGGAGCATCATACGTCAAGTGGGCTGGTCAAATGGCTGTGGGGCTTCAGACCGGAGTGCCATGGATCATGTGCAAACAGCCTGACGCTCCTGATCCGGTGGTACGTACCGTACCGGTTTTTTTATTTTCTAAGGTCAACGTT